ATATAGACACTGAGATTTGGATTTCATATAATTTTCATGTGTGGTAGTTCCTCTTTTGATTTTTTCCAACCCTTTAAAAATGTGCAAAGCATTCTTAGCTGCAGCCCATACAAAAGCAGGCAGAGAGGGGGAAGATTTGACTTGAGGTTTGTAGTTTGCCAACCTCTGTTCTAAACAGTTCTCACCATCAAGAAAGACATCTGTCATTCAGCTACTCTGAATAACTAAACAGAATTTGAGGGGTGGGGTCTCTGCACATTGGGAGTTTCTTAGTCAAATAACCAATCTTTATCCAAATCTCATATAACTTATCAACAGCTCAATCCTCATCCACCCTGCTGAAAGCCTGACAGAATATACCAGGGCTCTTTCTACATGGAAAATCTGCCACGTTACCTTGGCTCCCATAACTTGTGAATACTTACACCAGGATCCCATTAACAAGACAGAGTAAAAGCATGGCATTGGCCATTTCTGACTTAGCTCGCCCTACAACTGTCCCTCATCATGCTGTGAATAAGATTTCTGCCCAAACCTCAATTTTCTGTATCAATTCTGCAGCATGTGGTATATAACTCTACTGAGTAAAGGACTGCCTGCTTCATATAAAATAAAGAGAATTGCTTCTTTTTTCAATTCAAATTTTTATTTGAATAATCTGTTTTTAAATGTGAATATATGCCATTAAAATATGGATTTCTACTGAGACTATAGCCAGTTTTGCATTACCCACAAACATCACGATGGCATCTATCTCTAAGGGTATCTATTCAGCTTGATTCAACTGGCCATGCTGCAAGTTTCCCCCTTTGTTTGCCTCCTCTCACGAAATTACAACAGCTAAGTGGGGAATCATCCTTGCTTAGTCTTAAGTGATGAATGCCACTGCCCCCACAACCAGCCTAACCACTTTGTGACATAATTATCTAATGAAACACTCATATCATGCTGAACCTGCTGCTACCCAACACGTTACCTAGAAGATTAATCACATAATTTTGAAGTAGAAGGGACCTTGGAGATCATGTAAGACCAACCTCCTTGCTATTTAGAAAGTAAAGGGATGAGAAGTTGTGACTTGCTCAAGGTCACACTGTTGAAGTGGGACAAAAATCTAGAGTGTGTGACTTAATAATTCCAAATGGTTTTTCTCTTCTTTTGAATCAAATGTGGAGCTGTTTCAAAGGTGGGAAAGAATGTTTTAGCCTCATTCATAAATGGCAATGAAACACACTTCCTTACAGAGAATATCTGCTGCGGTTAGGCTTATGGAGTAGAAAAAAGAAAAGACCCTCAGTGACCTTTCAATTAAGATTTGGGTTGAAACTACAATTAATGTTCCCTAAGGAATGAAAATTGCAATTTCCACGCTGCACAGCTAACAATCGACTTCTGCAGTGCCACCTTTCTGTCTCCTTTATTTAAACTTTCATTTACAGTTCAGAAGCTAGGCACCTCCTAAATATCTATAGCACCTGATTGGTCTACTGCTTAAAATCTAAAATCCCTTGGCCTATGATTGTGTGATTTCTTAGAAGGAGGACTTAGTTTTAATATCCTCCATCATACTAAGACGATCACAAAACAAAATGTGACTTTTTTCTCCTTTTTGGCAAGGGGTTGAGACAAGTGAAATAATATATGAAGTGTATTTCAGCAATTCTAAGATGCACTCCCCTACTCCCACATTTGAGAAACCCTGGAATCAATAATGTGTCATAGTTTAATTGGGAGCCTTTTATTTTTCTTTCTTTGTAATACTAAAATGATACTTATCATCAAGGGCATCTTAGATTCAATGAAATACAGTAGTTGAAAAAACTGGTTTATTGACACTTGGAACAGTTTGAGAAATAGGAAATCTAACATACATGTGTTGGGCTGTCAATCTTTTACTCTAATTCATTGTTGAAAGTGTAACCTGAAGTTTGATCCACCAAACATTGGTGTAATAGCACTAAGCTGTTTTCATTATGACAAAAATGACTTTTTCAAAAGAGCACACAAAAGCAATGAACATGAATCATGATGGAAACAATGGGTTCACACACCTATTCATACTGTTAACATTTCAACAGTACGCGTGAATTCTCTTTCAGTTCTGTGTCACAGTCATCCATAATGAGGAAGTATTAGCATTTCAGTAGGACATTCAATCATCCCTGTGCTCAGAACTAGTTCCTTCACAAATACAGATGTTATACATTATAAATTCCTATTTATGAAGGGATGATTGAACATCTACCTGCCAGGTCATACAATAACATTATTGTTATTGTTGCTTCAAATAGAAGGCAATTTTTTCTGAGAATAACAAATTTAAGATCAAATTTAACTCTTTGAAATAATAAATACAATATGCATCTCCTTTTCTGATCCATGCATTTACGCGACAATTAAATCTTATTTTAATTTCTGAGACTAAACTTTTTTTTTAACACTTAAATATATTTTATTGAAATACTTTCTGTATTATAGAATTTCAAGTGACTCTGCCTTCATCTCATTTGCAACGCAGTTTCTATTTTTTAAAGTATAAAAGAATTATCTAGTAAGTAATAAGTGGAAATGAAGCACTTACGTTTATAAAATACCGCTTTAAAAGATATGTGAGGCAGAAGTTCATAGATCTTTTCTAGAACAGTTGCTTCGCCCACTAAAGAGGCATTTACATTCCAGACTTGGACTACGTCTTCCCGGTCCCGAACACTGACACTAACTCCTATTACTTCGTCATCTAAGGGGAAAGCAAGGAAAAAGAAATGAGTGAAAATTTCAAGTATGCCCACATTGTTTTTTATGTGCTTATCATTTTACCTGTAAGTTATAACTAAGATGATAAAAAGAAGGTGGCACAAGAGAACCCATAATAAGTACTTGTTTCTAATAAGAATCGTTGGACAAAAAGTAAGTTATTGGGCAAAAGCTGTAGCAATCACATCACATTTAACCAGGGACTGAAGAGATAAACAAAGTGTTCCAGCCAAACAAATTTTCCAGATAAGTAATTTACCCTTTTTAACATGTTACCAAAGCTTTTCTTACTGTTTTGATGAGACTTTTTCTAAAACGAGTTGCATAATACTCTGTCCTCTGAAAGCCAAGTGAACTCGAATGAACTTTTCCTTGATGCTTGACTGTCTTTAAGAAGTGCAAGTATTTCTCCTGATTTTCCTATCAGGCGTTCAGAGATCTCGGGGGTGGTTAGTACTATTTGCCCCAACACTAACTGGACCTAGTGTGTTCTGAGTTTCTCCTTCTGCTTTTGGTGGTTTGCATGTCTCCTTTCCTATTAATTCTTCCAGCTTTCTAGTGCTTCTCTCTAGCCATCCCCTTTCTGCATTTGAGCTTAAACTGTAGGCTAGAGAATCAATGACCATTTGTTAGCACTGTGCATGAAGTAAGAATAAATATCTTCTGAGTGTGGTTCTGCTATTATAGTACTTAAGTAAATGACATTAAAGCATTTATCCACATTAATTAATGTAGGTCTTTAGTTTTTATTTTATTTTATTTTTTCAAGATTTGTGGCTGCCTTGTAGATATTTGAGAATGATGGCTGAATAAGTAACGTTTTGTTGTACTGTCATATGCTCCCTTACAGCGACTTTGTATCCATTAGTTTCCATCGAAATGATTCGAGTAAAAAGACTTCTGACTCCTGGTTTACATGTTTATTACATATTAATACAATAGGGTCAGCTCTTTGCACATGCATATTTAGCAACAATAAGTAAAATGAGAAAGGTGAGCATCAAAATTACGAAATGTTGCTTTAATAAATATGTTTTGCCTAATTTGCAGTAAATCTGTAAATCTAAATATTTATGTCATCAGTCCTTCCAATTGTTTTCTGGAGGTTAAAACATTCTAGTATTTAGTTACAATTTAAATAAGTACATCCAATTTACTAAAGGAATTCACCTTCAGTAAAATAAGTCCTGCCTGCCTGCCTGCCTGCCTCCCTTTCTTCCTTCCTTCTTTCCTTTCCCTCCCTTCCTCTCTTCTTTTTTTCCTTTTTCAATGAATTTGATCATGGCTAAGTGTGTATGATTTGGTACTAAATTAAATTATTCCATTTACATAAATGTTTGAAAGCAGGCAAAATCATCCCTATGGTGTTAGAAGTCGACAGGCAGCCATCTTTGGAGGAGTGGGAGATGAAGAGGGATCTTGGGGGCAGGTAATGTCGTGCTCTGATCTGGATTCCAGTTACAGGGATCTGTCTACTTTGTGAATCTTTATCAAGGTATACACATTATGGTTTGTGTACTTTTTTGTATATGTGTCACATTAAAAAAATAATAATAATAAAAATAAATAAATAAATAGTACCTGATCGTGGCCATCCAATAGGAACTTGGATTATTCCATCAAAAAATTTGTTTTCTGTATAGGTTTCTTATTTTTTAATTTACTCCTTCAAAATATACTTGCTAGAGCTCAGTGTTAAGTTTTATGTGAACATAAAATCATCAAGTAGAGAGGGAAACTTTGTAGTTTACCACTTTGAAGAATGGCCATGAAGTCGCTATATTTACCTTTTAGGAAAATATCGGCATTCTCCAGTCTTTAATACTGCCCATTTCTACACTTTTCGTCAGAGGGTGCTATAATTGATGGGTATTAAGTAAGCTGAACTGTCAACATTTCAGTCTGCCTTGGCTTTTGGTAACCAGGCATAGCCTACTAGCATAGCATAGCATTTTCAGAAACAGCTTGGTAAAAAGGCTGCAACTCTTATGCAAAGGCAGACCCATCAGCAAACATGTAATATTCATAAGGAGACTCAACTGGCAAAACCCTAATTATTTTAGGGCACTGGCGGCATAAGACATTAGAGAGAGGAGGAGCCACTGTTTAAAGATAGAGAAAATGAAGCCCAGAGAGATTAGCTGACTTGCTCAAGTGGCAGAGCCAGGTGAGTGAAAGAGCTAAAAGTTAATAGTTAATGGTGTTCTCATTTCCTAAAGCAGTCACAGAACAACAGGTCTTCTTTACTTAATCCTGGCTATTTATTATTACTTAGATAATCTTCCCTGTTCTGGAAACAGGAATAACTTCCTCTCCCAGGGATTTCAGAATTTATAATTACATCTAGAATGCATTTTTGGCTGCATATGGTAAAGTTGCTAACCACTCCCTGTTAAGACAGAAAAAATCTGAACTTTAAAGACCATTTCATCTTAACCCAGGTTTTGTCTTAAGTAAATAAAAAAGTAGTGTAAAAAGAAAGCAAAACAAAGGCAGAATTATTGAAACTGCTAGTGAGATGAATTGAAAATGGCCATAGCACTGGCTAGGCCTTCAGAGGCTCCTAAAGATAGCACTGTCTAAGATATCTGAGGGCAAATTAGCCAATACCAATTCATTAAAAAAAATCTTAACTGAAAGCTGAACAGTAAAAATGTTATTCTAAATGTTACCTCAGAAGCATCCAGAAGGAACTACCCAAGAAAAACAAAACGTTAAACAAGCAATTCAATTCCCCTCTTTGAGTGGTTTCATGATAAAAACAAAACAAAATAAAAATGTACTCATAGAGGCTCTCGGAAATTGACTCAGTATTTGAAAATGGTCTCCCAAGTAAAGTTTTGGAGACCTTATATTTTAGCCTCAATTATGGGGGTCAGGTTATAATGGTGAACTCACCCTGCCTACCTTTTACTGCTCTCTTTGAGCAGGGAACCAAGAGAGGGACAGGAGGAAGGAAAAAGGGATTGAAAGGGACAGAAAGAATTGTACCTACCTCACTACAAACTTCACTAGACACCAAAGGCACATTCTCCTTCAAGAAGAATTAGAAAGGAAACCAACCACAAGTTAAGAGTCCAATTGATATTTTCTTTTCTTTCTGCCTATTTATTTTGGACAGATGGTCACAGATACTATTAAGATGTGTGATGAGGGAAAATACATATGCATATACACAGACATATATAAACATAACACTAAATGCCACAATCACATGAAAAAAAAAATCTAAGTAACTTCACAGTAACAAAATAAACAACTTCAAAACATATAAAAAGTCAAAACACACAAAAACAAATTTCTGCAAGTAACAAGCACAAGCCAAGCACACATGAGCAAGGACAACCAGAGCTGTGGGCTTCTTTACCTGCAGCAGCACAATCTGTGAACTGTTCCCCGATAGTCGCTAACAACAACTCTTTCCAAACTGTGGACTGGTATGGGAAAAGAATAAAAGTGTGTGTGTGTATAACAATCTTCTACACATTTGTAATGGTAACCACTCACCAAATACTTAGAACTGAAGTATATAACATAAAACAAGAAGGACCAGAGGGGAAATGCACAAAATTCAAAAAAAAAAAAAAAAAAAATCAAAAAAAAAAAACAAAAAACAAAAACAAAAACAACACACACATATATATATATTTTAGACAATTATCTCCAGGAGCTAAACAAGTCACATTTTCCGTAACTTCACATACACTTTCCATGCCCATATTTAGAGCCCACAGACATCTCCAAATTACAGGTGCAAACACTCAACAATACTGGCATGTATAGTATTGGTTGACAAATAACTTTACACAGATAAATACAAGTGATCTAAAGTCACAAACTTTGTGTCCAAAGTCACAAAGCTAATCTTTAGTGAAAGCCCTGATGAAGGTCAAAAAATGGGGGGAAATGCATTTAAATGACATAACTTTCTGATTTCTTTACCTCTCTCTGATTCAAAATGAATGCTATTAGTAAAATCTGTCTCTTCAAAATCCCTTCCTCTGTTTCTCTTGCAGTTTATAAGGTACTTCAAAGGTTACACAGCAAAGAGCACTTGAGGAAATTTCTGGTTTATCGAATACTAGAGACTTGCAAATTTCTATTCACTTGAGACAGACTGTTTATGCTAACTTTATAAGGGTATGTACACATTTGCCCAGAAGAATTAGTGCATGGTCTGGTCTACCTCCTACTAGTGAGAAAAAATGGATTCCTTTCTACTCAAGATCTACTAATGCCATCCAACAAACAGCCAGGATCCACTTAAAGATTATTGGAGGCCTAAAATTTCTTCCAGTTATTCTCCCTTGAAAAGTTCTTGGTCCCTTTTATCTTCCTTGCCCTAGTTCACAGGCTCTGAACTCTTCCAGAACTAGGTCTGAATCCTGAGAGGCTGCTTAGTATCTGTGACCCTGGCAGGTTATCAACCTCTCTGAGCATCAGTTTCCATAGGTGGGCCCACCACAGCCCACCTCCCAGGGTTGTTGTGACCATAAAATTAGTCAACAAATGCATTCAAAGGGCTTAGCACTATGACTGCAACCAAAGGACTCAACCGTTCCATAAAAGCTATGTGCCTGCTATATGCCAAGGGCTCAATACAAATTAACTATAATAACAGTGTTTATTATTATATTCTAATGAACTGAAAGCAGCCTAGCTGAATTTGTAACCAAAACAACAGCAGTTAACCATTATGACCTCTCATTCTCAAAGAGGATTTTCTTTTCTCTTTCCTAGACCCTCCCTTCTGGTCTACTTGTCTCCCACCTAGAAATCATTCCTTCTATTTTCTGTCTCTTACACTGTTAGTGATGAAGTTGAGGGTGGAGACAAGAAGCTAGGGAAGGGAAAGTTCCCTCTCGTTTTGAATTCAGACAAGGTTGACCCACCAGACTCCCACGTGTTGACAATTAAGCATGCACCTAACTGCTTAGGATAAGGAAACTCGTACAGACATGAAGTGTTATTACTTGTGACTGAATGTGGCCAAGTAGGCTTAACAAGGAGAGAAAGGACAAATGTGCTTTTCAGCCTCTTTTCACTGAAAGGTGGCATCATGATTGTTTCTACTAGAATTCAAAGTCTAGTGTCAGAAATTAATGAAAATGAAAAGGAAAACTTGTTCTTATTGAAAAAAAAAAATAACTTACATTGTCTCTTTCTCTTATATTTTTTGCTTTCGTTTCCCTTTTAAGGGGAACAGAGCGGATTCACAGGCCTTACTTACCTGTTTTGTTCTTTGCTCCCCTGACGTTTTTTAATATGTATGTCAAATAACAGGCAAATCTTGGAGCTACATATCTTGACTAATAGTCTGCATCTTTCACAAATAAATCTGACCATGTCTTAGGTATGTGCTTATAGGAAAATGACTCCAGCTCAAGCCTATGGATCTCTGAAGACATTTCAATTCTTTGAGTTTATATACATGAAAGAAACCATGAAAAGGTGAGAATGGGTAGCATTTACCCTTTCATCTATTTCAAAGAAGGCTTTTGGTTTCCCAGGGCTTAAGAACAGATTTGAACATTCATTTTCAGCCAGTATGATGAATTAGAGCCCACCTCTGGGAAATCGAGGTTTCTGAGGCTTGGCCACTGCAAACCAGCATCCCACCAAGCCATCCCTCCAATCAGGTTCTCATCAGCCCCAGAGGGAAGCCAGCACAGCCTCATGTGAACCCCCTAAGATTGGTGAGATGTGAGGCCTTCCCAGCATCCTCACTCTCCATGCCATAGTCATTCTCAGAACCACTCTGCCCCCAGTGGAAGAGGGATGAGCTTTCAGTAGAAAGGTCTTGCTTCTTGCTATGTAAAACCAACTTCCATGTGTTAGTTAAGACTTGGTGAGGAAATGACCACCATAAAGATAACAGGCTTTCTGTAAAGGTTATAGGCATTTAGCTCTTCAGACAATATGGCATAGTAAAACTATTACACCACATCTATAGAGAAGCACAATAATGTAATTTCAAGGTGACAGTATAAGGCAGAGTCAGAAGAGAATTTCTCTTCCTGGGACTACCAGGCATGCTGTCTGAAAAACACAGGCTGCTCATCACCTGCAGTCAAAAACCACCCCGAGCACTGCCAGGTCTAGAAAAGGACCAGAACAAACCTACCGTGCTGTCCTTGGGAACTTTCATCTTCCACACGCCACCCTTTGCGTTACTCTCCTCTTCCCTGGAACAAAGATCAACATCTAAAGTTACATTCAAGAATTAACTGGTTCTACATACATTTACTTTAACAATAGATGGCATTAAAAACCAAAAAAAACCAGCATTCTTCAATAAACTCTCCCTCAGTCCTTTTATTGGAAACAAGAAGATAAAAGAAAAAGGAAGAAGATAGAGATGGGGAGGGAAGAAAATGAAATTCAGTAACTACAAGGGCAGGAAAGGTGATAGGACACCAGGTTCTCATCCTCAAGGAGGTGGTAATGAGAGGTTCCCTAGACTATCGGGGGGTGGACAAATTAATACAAGTGCTTCACTTGTTAAAAGCCTTTATATTTCAATATCATGATCACGACATTGCCTCATCTGATTCTTGTTGTCAACCTTGTGTCATAGGTCTATTAGGAGAACTAGCCCCTGTGGTGGGAATTTGCTTTGCTTTCCCATTTAGTATTTGCTCCCTCTTCTGGTAAGAGCATCCAAATTTTCTTTTAAGGAGCCACTTGTTCCCTACTCTTATAAGTCAGACGCATTCAGATAAGGTCCATTCCACACCTTAGCTTCAAAGATAGGCTAATGTCCCAGGTTTGCCCACAAGAATACTGCCTCTCTCTAGTGGTTGTGACCAGCCAGGGATGGAAAGGTGACCCATGTGAGCCAATGAGAGTAGGCCCTGGCATTTTACTGGTACTGGTGAACGCCAATGTCTGTATTCTTGTAGGGTGTAAGACTGGAGCTACTGTGAACCATTTTGCTACCACAAATGAGAGAGTCTGAAAATTAAACCAATGCAGAGGAAAACAAAGCAAATCTGATGGAGAGCATCAGGTTTCTAATAACATTTGAGCCCTCAGCTCTGCCAGAAATCAGCCCTACCAGTGCACTGCTCAGTTACAGGGGCTAAAAAATTCATTTCAGATTAGGTTCCTATCATTTTCTACCAAAGGAGCTGAGATAGATTTCTATTTTATTAATGAGTGCATAATTTAGAACAGTTGAGGGACATGATATAAGGATTTACTACTAATTGGAAATCCAGTCTATGCAAACTGGCTCATTGTCTACCACCCTCGTCACTACACCAAGCTATTAAAGAAGGATACCTTCCCCTAGATCCTGGGCCATGATCAGTACCACACACTTTCTATGTGGTCCATGTGAGAGAGATGTCTGAGGTGATATGATCTTTGTTCAACCATACAATAGGCGTGAATACCACATCTGTCTTCCTCAGCTCCCCACAGTAGCCTGTAAGCTTTTTCAAACGAAAGAATAAACCCAAATGATGCAACACCCATACAAAGGCCTGCTTTGTACCTTCTGGGCTCTAATAATGACCTATTTGTGGTGAGACTGCAATGGGGCGCTTGGTGGATGCACACGGAGAAACCTCCTCACCATCCTGAGCCCAAAGTGAAGGGGATGGTGGGCAGGGGCTTATTTCATAATTAAGTAATAACTAAAATTACTTTCCAATATCTCCTGGAAAAAGTGCTTTGGCATTTCAATTCAACATGATTAAGTATGAGGTTTACAATCATTTCTCTCCCACTTAACCTCAAATTAATGTCAGACACTTACCAGAGTGGTCGCCTCTCTCCTCTCATTAAATGATAACTACATCTCAGAGGCAGGCTAGTCACAGGAGGAATGTTATTGTATACACTCCAGAATATCTTTAAAAGAAAAACACATTGTTTAATACACTCAGTTTTAATTTTTTACTGTGTCACTAGATTATAAATTAATGAATTAAAGAAACAATCAGATTCTCATTAAGTCCTATCCATTCAAAATAGATCATTCTTAGTGTTCTAATTTTCTGCTAGAAAATGTAACATAACGTTAAAGAATGTTCTTCACTGAAGTTGGGCCAACTTCTATGTTCATAAAGCTGTAGTTATTAAGCAAACATTCCTATGCAATGTATCTCCACATAAAACTGGGTAAGGATGTTGCCAATGATTTTTAAAGCTTGTAATGCTGAATATATGTACTGAACCATATTTTCTGTAACAGACTCTGTCTTCTTTCTAGAAGGAGTGTATTATGCTTTAGACTGGGGGGTGGGGTCTAAAGGAAGAAGCAAAGAGGAATCACCTTACATGCTGTCCTCTTTCCTTTTCCCTCCTAGAATGAACAGGGAACAGCTCAGTAGCCCAAGATACTGGATGTTATGGGCTGCATGTCTGTGTTCTCCTCAAATTCATACAAAGAAACACTAACCCCCAGTGGGGTGGTATTAGGAAGTAGAGCCTTTGGGAGGTAATTAGGTCATAAGGAGGGAGCCTCTATGACAGCATTAGTGTCCCTATAAGAAGAGAAAGAGAGATGGCCTCTTTATCTCCACCGTATTGAGAGCATAGCAAGGAGATGGCTCTCTGTCCTGTAAACTAGGAATAGGGCTCACATCGGAACCTGACCATGCTGGTACCCTGATCTTGGACCTCAGCCTCTAGAACTGTGACAAATCAATTTTGTTTAAGCCACCCAGTCTATGGTACTATTATAGCAGCTGGAACTAATGAAGACACAGAGTAGCTGGTAGGCAGAAACAGATTATATAAAAATAAAAGAGTAACATAACAACAGTAAAAGTAATATTGCCAGGTTTTGTTCTATGAATTTTTACATGTTTCTGTAATTTATCCTAATGATGACCTTATTACTAAGAGGTACTATTATTATTCTTGTTTTATCTATAAGAAAACTCAGGCAGAGACTAATCTGCCCAAGCATCACTGTTTGGTATGACCACCAGGATTAGGATGAGGATTAAGTTTACAAAGACAATCTTTCCCAGTTTGTTTGGAATGGACCATAGCATCACTCTGTTATCAGAGAATTACTACACACATGAGAACTATCATTCTGTGTGGTGAGGTAAGTAGAGAGTGATTTTCTGCATCTCCTAGTAGATCTGAAAAGAACAGCATGAACAATAGAACAATTAGAAAAATTAATCCTAGGGCATCATGAATGGAGTGGCATTGTTGGAATAAGATTTATCTATGTTTAACAAAAATCCTTATTCATTGTTTGAGCCTGTCTTGTGTAAAAATTAAAGCTGAATTAATTGCAAGGGCAGCAACAATAAACTGTGAAGATAAACCTGAAGGCAAAAAACTACCAGAAGGTTTATTAATTATGAGTGTCTTGGATCCCTTGTACCAAAGTGGTGCTAATGGGGAGAGTAGCTGAAAATAGATTTCTAGTAACAGTAGGTCCTCAAATGGTATCTGTCCTTAGGAAAGTACTGACGGGGAAGCAGAGTTTGCCATCCCAAAACAAGCCTTTTGGGGCAGTGATTATTTTAAGACGGTCATTTTTAAGAAACAAAAGACTCATTAAGAACCTTTAACCTTCCCCCTTTCCTGCCTAAAGGAATTCAGACAGAAGAACCTGCTTCAGGAAGGCAGCCTTGGCATATTCACCTCTGCATATACCAATTAAGTGTGGCAGACGGGATCCGAGCATGTCTGTTTAATTCCCCTCTGTGTCCCACTGTTACAAATTCCAGCACAAATTTGTTTACCACATGTTTGCTCTTTCTCATCTACCTGTGAATTGCCTGCTTTCCCTTTGAAATCCCAGACCCCTGCTTCCCTCTCCTTAGTCCAGAAGGGCATACAAGCCTCAACTGCCCAATGCGTCCTCGGGTCTCATATTCTTTGGAATCCCTGTAAGTACACATGTAATAAGTTAGGTCATTTTCTCCTGTTAATCTGTCTTGTGTTAATTTGATTATTAGCCCAGCCAGCAGAAGTTAGAAAGGTGGGAAGAAAATTATTTTTCCACCCCTAGTTTCTACCCAATACATGGTTTGTTCTTAGTTCAAAGAATAAGATTACTCCAATATTTCAATGTCTGTAGTGTGCACAAGAATAAGTAGAGCTGGAATTTGAAGTCAGGCAGTTTGATTCCAAAACTTGTATTCTTAACCACTAAGCTATTTCATTTGAAGATATTACTATATGTTTTTGGCACATCTTTCTCTCATCTTGTAAGCTATGGACCAGGTCACAGAATCACAGAATGAGGAGATATTTAAAGATGTATTCTCACCAGCAGATGCCCTTAACAGCACCCAGCATGGTGGTTGCCTTAGCTCTAGCCTGGGACTCTCACTATGATGTGGTAATGACCTGTGTAGAATTTATAGACAAGACTATGCTAAAATAAAAATCCCTGCCTTAGGTTAAACTGAAAGGACTTTGGTACTGGCAAACTTCAAGTCTCCTAAAAGGCATCCCACACCAGAGCACCTGCCCTCACACCTTGCCAAAGTTCTTGAAAAAAACAAAATCTTTCTCCTATTCCAAAGTAAGAAATATCCTAAGGATTATGCTAAGGTTCATAGCTTTAGAAACTTCTCCTGAAAACAAAAACAAAAACAGACAACTGATTTTGTTAGTCTTGGCTACTCTGACAGATTATAACCCAAGAAGAAACAGCAATAGACTTAATATACTTACTAAAGCACATATTTGCATATTTGTGCATGAAAATAAAGCAGGAGTGAAATATGTCATTACATCATTGAAAAGAGCCACATTAAAAACATATGTGGCATTAAATTGGCCTATTTCCTTGTGACAGTTTTCATTCGATATGTGGAATACTGGTTGGGTTTGCATGATGATGAAATAGCTCAAGGAAGGACCCAGCATTAAATAGTTCTTTAAACCCTCTTCCTCCCCTGTGAAAGTGAAAGGGTTCATTGGAAGCTTGGTAGTTCATGATTATATTCTTTGTAAAGCATTTTTTTTAGTTGAAACACCTAAATTTTACTACAGATGGAACCTTGTAAATAGATTTCAAAGCAATTAGGCTTATAATTAATTCTATTTGGGCCTATAAACAGTAGATCGTAGTAAAGCTAAACCTAAGGACGGCGTTTATGAATGATGGCCAAGTGCTTTTTTCAAAAGCCTTAATGACAATCTAAGGATGAGGTGAAGTGTAACAGTTGGGCATCATTTATTTAGTCAGCATTTGTGACACTGTGAGTAATCCTTGGGGAACTGAGCGGACTGCATGAGGGACAGCCTTTGCATACAGAACCTACTCCTTGGTGGGCAAGCTCTTCAGCATCATTCTGGCACTTCTTGAAGAACTGAGGCAGGTCAGATGTTGTCCAATGAAGTCTTAATCCAGTGGAGTCTACCAGGATTTATGGCCAGGATAGTTCCCAGGATAACCCTCACAGGTCACATAACTCTTGAAACCTAAGTTTCCCTCTCTGTGCAACTGGGTCCATATGGCAATTTCATTGGATACTTCTATTATTAAATGTGCAGTGAAAGTGCATGGCAGACCTAAAGTAAGGAAGCAAGGTGTGGTTAGACTCATTGGACAATGATGACCACTTGATAAGTCCCCAATTTACTAGTTCTGACTGGAGCAATTATGCCTCATCTGAAAATCTTCTGCCAAACAGATAACTATTCATTATTAGGAAAACTGGCAAATGTTCTCGATTTTCTACTAAAATGCTCTGAAGGAAAAAAAGAATAGAAAATACTTGAGAAAAAAAGATGCCATGTGGTGACAAACAACAGGTATAAAACAAAACACTCAGCAAATATGCCTCCAAAACGAAATGTCCACAAGTCCAGGATTTCTTCTGAGGGTCATAGCATATGAAGCAGGAGAGTATTTTTGAAATATTAAACAAATATTTTCATTCATTAGATATTTCTAGTTGTTTGAGGCTTGCTTCCCACCAACTGAATCAATAACATTTATGGTGAGGGCAGGCAGAACCAGAAACAAAGGCGACTACTGAAGAGCTTAATGGATGTTTTTAACTCATTGCAGACACAATAGGTGAAAGCAAAGTGCTTCTGATTCGCAAGAGCTGGTCACTTGTGAGAGAAATGGGTTTTGCTTTGACTTCCATAAGAAACTTGACTTAAAATGAGAGCCAAAGTTTTCAGGACTGATCATTGAGAAGATGAAAAAAAGGATGTTAGGGCAATTTCCCACCACACAGAAAGTCAATGAATAAAAAAACAAAGTCTGAGTTGGGGAGCTATACAGAGTTCACACTTTGAGAGAATGAGAGAGAGCACCTCCAGAGAAACGTTGGGGAAACAGAGCAGAGCAGTGTGTATCCTGCCATGGGTACAGCCCATAGGTAGATGCTTCTTTATTGATGTTAATATTTTTTAAGTACACAGGGACTTCATAGAAAACTCAAAGAACTGCTTGGACTTAGAAGCCTATATATCATTTTAACAAAGGGTGATAAGCTGTGAAGAAGTGACTAGACAAAGGAAAAGGGGATCTGGGCCCCTAGAGGTGGTAAGGTGACTAGGAAATCTATGGTAGATAAGGGTTGTTTATTAAGGCCTGTTATACAGACTCAAGTGATAAGAAAGGGGGATACCTTTATAACTGGCAATTAATGTTATCTTTACAAAGGGAAATTTAAGTCCTGCTTTTAGGCATAGAGCAACTCTTTTGTCTGTTGTTTCTCAATTGCCTTCAACTCAAGATAATCCTTATGGTAAGTGGCATATTTGGGGTTGGTATATTCTGATCTCCTTCAGAAGAGACCAGGTTTTACATGTGAAGTGACTAAATTACTTTCACTCTGCAAGATTTAATCTCTCCCCTCATCCCCCATCTCACCTACACAATGGCCTCCACTGCCAGCATGCCAGCAGACATGGAGGGTTATGGGTAATTTGACATCAGTCCTATTTCTGCACAACTGAGCTGTGACTACAAATGTTGATCCCATCATACTCATAATGAACAAATTAAATGATAATGAAGAATCCTACATACTCATTTGTCTGTGCTAGATAAAACTATGAAGTAGACCTTGCTTCTTGTCCTTCTTTCTCTCTCTTTGGTGTGGAGTTTCTCTTGGTCTTCTCTCAGCCTTACGCCTTTACTCAAATGGTTCATTCTAGGTCATTCTATTGCAGGACACCACCCGCAAGGGCTGCCCTTCTGTGTCCAGGGCAGTGTGTACTTCAATCAACCTTTCCATCATTCTACATCATCGATACTGACCTCTCCTTCTGAAAGGGACAGCCTCATTTCCCAGGGACCTGAAAAGCAATCTGTTATCCTGATTTAATGACCTATAACAGCACCACAACTCCACACCTTCTGATAAGGGATATATCTTGATACTAGTGGCAGTACATAGTTACAGAAGGAACATTTTCTTAATTTTAATAGTGTGTGTGTGTGTGTGTGTGTGTGTGTGTGTGTGTGTGTGTGTGTATCCTTCTGTTTATGAGAATGATGCTGGGTATCCACTAACAGGAGATATATGAAGTTTGTTTTATATAAATTTTACATAAATTTATGTTAAAAAAAATCAATTGACTTATGGGAAATACTAGGTAGAACACTGTTGAAATGGGACACAAATAACTGAGGTGGGACAGAATGCTGCACAGGAATAAGTTTTCAGGAGTGGAATTTTTGGTCTTGAGATAGCAAGGCTGGAAGATACTGGGAATTAGGAAGATAACCCTTGCAAATTACATCTGGCAGGTAGCTCTTCATTCTCCCACAGGTAAAATCAGGCTTCACAAGCTGTGTTCTATTCTGTACAGCATCCATTCAAGACATAAAAACACAGGAGAAATGTGGAACATTTACAGAAGCATAAAAGAAATCAATAAGCATCTTGTAAACACATCTACATGAAAAATGGAATTTTCCAAGAAGGGCAGGAAAGTAGGAAACAAATTTCAGTTCACGCGAAGATAATTACTGTTGGCCTTGATGACAATGTCCTCATGAGGGGTCACTGGGCCATCTGGAAGCACCCACTTCCTCCACTGATTAGTCAGGACAGAGTTAAAGAAAGAGAATTGAACTAGAAGTGGGAGGGAGTTCTAATCCTAGAGATACAGCATGACTGGCTGTTTCCACCATATGTGTGGGGCCACTTACCTCTTAGCTGCAGTCTCCTTGGCTAATAAATGGGGATAATTCCCACCCCCCACTCCCCCACTATCGAGATTTCAGTTTGCTCAAGGGCCTCACAGCACAAAAGATACATTGTCTTCATGTAAAGGAATCACTAATAACACATGATTCTTACATTTCATTCGAACATACATAGGAGGAAAACACAGACATGATTAGGGATGCAGTTTTTTAGTGCTGACAGAGTGAGAGTTCAAGAACCAGCCTACAATCACAGAATAAAAGGATGGCGGGACAAAAGTAAGTCCTCTATTAACTTTAAGATGAGATCTAAGCTACTTCTTAAATACTAAGGTCTACGTCATGGCTGCAATCCCCAAAATTACTGATCAGGTAGATATGTTTTCATAAGTAGAAGTGCTAGCTGTGGTATAACTGGTTGATATACATAACCTAGAAGTAGTAGTACACAGTTTTCTAACATAAAACACGACTGAGGAAAGTACAAAAAGGTGTTCAATAGAAGCGGCAAAATGATAGTAAATAAGCTTATTATTATTGGGCACTTACTTATTTGCTTTTTACTTCCTGTGCCATTTCATTCTCACAACTTCATGATATAATTGGCATGAGTAAGGAGATACAGAGAACTTAAGCAACTTGCCCACCCCGGCCCACATCCTCACCAATCACCTGGTGAAGCGGAGAGGTAGCATCCAACAACACTTCCGTAAAGAGCTGCCGACATCTGAGGGGTTACTAAGTGCCAAGCACAACTAAAAACTATATGCAATCTCATTTAACCCTCGATCAACCTGAGGGAGTAGACAGTTACTATCTGTTTTACAATTGAGGAAACTGAGAGAGAGACAGAGACAGAGACATCAGAGATATGACAGAACTTCCTGACAACTTACAGCAGTATTTCATTATCACCCCTGCACCTGAAGGACCCTTTTTTCTAATCATTCCCCTGTTGAAATTTTAATACCACAGAGAGACTGTACATCTTTTTATATACTCTATGTATGTCTGTACTGTATACATAAAAAGACTAACATTTTTTTGACCCCTAAGAATCAGTTTTTGCCCCCATTGGGAATGTATGGCCTACAGCTTAATGAATCCTTATGTGAGCAGTACGTTGTGACTCAGGAACATGGTTCATTTATTAATTTCTCATTCATTCATTCAACCCCTCAGTATTTACTGAGTAAAAAGGAACCAGGCATGATAAGCACTGTGATTCCATTTATATGAGGTTCAATAAAAACAACTAACATATGGCGAGAGAAGTGTGAACAGCTGTTGCTTTCTAGAAAAAAAAGACTGACTTGAAAGGGGCACGAAGGAACTTTCTGGTATGATGGCCAATTTTTATCTTGATCTGGGTGATGGTTACATGTTTGCATATCTTTGCCAAAATTTATCAAACTGTACACTTAAGAAATCTGCATTTACTTGATATAAATTGTCTTCTAATGTAGTTTTAAAGAATGTCTTTAAGAAATTATTTCCTAGTATGTACCAGACTGAGCACTTGAAAGTGGTCCCTGAAGACCCTAATTTGCTGCTGGATGCCAAAGCTCAACCAAATGCTGTGTTATCATGCAGAATCAGAACTAACCTGAAACCGCTTAACCTGACTTTACCAATGTCTGCCTGTCCACTCTGTAATCCTAGGCATATCTCTGATGATCCAATGTCATAACGGAGAGGAAAAGGTCTAGTAAGTACTTCAAAAAATCAGTGGGATCTAAGAACTTCCATAAGAGGACAGGCTTGAAAATCAAGTGCTCTGAGGGTTATACAATAACTGCTGGGAAGGGGTAACAAAAATCAGTAATCACCTCGAGAGAGAAGTGAGGGGAAGCCTTTCCCGAAGTCTGAGAGCATTTATCCATCTGGACAGTGGCCCGCATGCTGCCTTGTGATGCTGCTTGTACTTGGCACTGAATGGTTATTTATGGCAGCACTGTTATTTTGCTTTCCATATAGTTATGTCATTTTCCCAACTAGATCAGAAATTACCATAGATCACAGCTCAGAAATTACCATCAGAGCTCAGAAAGGGAGTGGCTGAGCTGGTGTTTGAATGGGGACAAAGATCAATGTCTTCCAAACCACAGCACAGTCTGCTGCTCATCAGGGTCCCTGAAAGATTTAGGTAATAAAGTTCTAGCAGGTCACGAAGAAAAGAGCAGGCCACTTAGGCATGTGCTCAGTCAGCCTCTGGGGTCGACTTAGTTAAGGGCAGCTGCACCAAAATGGACGTGAGAGTTGACACCAGAGCAGAACCCTGGATGGGAGCTTCCAGCACAGTGGCAGTTTTCAAGTTGGATGATCAAATGTCCAACATAAACCATGTTAATTGGGTGTGCCCCTTTTCTGATCTTACCTGTACTGTTTGTACTGTGTAGATTTTCTTCAGATTTGATGCACACTCAGCTGCTGTGGCACCAGGGAGAGATCTAAGCAAACATAAGCAAAAGGGCAAAAAAACAGCAAGACAAGTAGTCAGTGTTCCAGCAAGTCTTCATGCAAATAGGTCTAAAACCACAGCACTGGACATTTCTGGGACCAATTTAGAATTTAAAATGTGAAATTCCTATTTTGTGAAGTCATGGGTTTGCTTCTCCTAAAAATAAGCCTATTTTTTTTTTAGTAGAAAAAAAAAAAGAAAGGAAATTTATGTAAGAAAGATATTGGAAACCTTAAAATCACATTTTAAAAAATATTAAAATAAGCTTGTAATAACCATGCCTTTTACGTAGGACTTTGCATAAAAAACTGTGCCTATTGTACAGATGACAATGAAAATGCAGGGTCCTAACCTGGGTGTGTTTGAAAAACTTGTTGGTAAATACTTATGAACTCTTGAGAAAGAGAGTGATCTTTTCCTGACCTTAAGAAAACATAATTACTAAAAGTCGACTTTAGTTTTACTTGAATTTGCATGTGTTTCCAAAACTTCCAGTTATTTTCTCTGGATTATTTAATGAGCTCTGCTGAACTCTGTGGTCAGAATATATAAATCTTTAGTTTGCTATGTGTTCCACTAGATGGCAACATACTACAGGTTTATTCACCAGAAAAACCATGCAAGGTGACTAGTTTTACTCAGCACCATTTCCTGGGATTGAGGATAACATGGCATGGTATCATCAATCCTTAGAAGTTAAGACTCTCAATTACTGACTTTTCTTTCTCCCTATACTGAATTAGCAGTCTAGCTCAAAAACGTTGGGATCCAGCTGTATCGGGCTTAAGGTGAAAATTTACCACTCAAAATAATGCTTGAAAGCCCCACGTCTGTTAGAAATAAGAAGCATGCTGAGAGAATGCACTGGTTCATAGCTGATCCACTAGAGCCTGGAATCTATAAAAGGAATACTTTGTATTCCTTTTATAGATTCCCCTGACTCTCAGAGCCATAGTGTCCAGGGAACTCAAGATGTTGGGCTTCCTGGATAGCCATTAAAATATTACACAGTGGAGATGTGCACAAAACTCACGTAGCTCAGAGGTAGAGGTAACAGCAAAGCAAAAGACCATGCCTAGGTGTCTGTGTGTGTGGTGGAGGTGATGGAGAGCAAGAGGTATAAGTGGCAGAGCTCTAGAGATGACATTCCTATACCTATGGACCAATGAATGCTCCCTGGGTGTCGAATCTGAATATCAAAAATACATTTCTGAAATCAGCTCCCTAGCCTGGAAGTCACTAAGGAAGTACAATTATGAACTAGTTTGGGGACAAACAAGGGACTCCTATTTAGGAGTTAAAGTCTGATAAATAAATCTACCTAAAACACTGGGTTTACAACCCATTTCTAGTTATTTATAAATAAGTAAGACATTGTTTTTTAAAAATGGAAATCCACGATAACCACCATGATTGCATTTTGCTGCCAGACTTGAAGCCTAAAATAACTACGTTGAAGAGCGTGGTGAAGAGTAAGGTACTTGACCAGTGCCTTGCTCTGACAGTGCCTGGGCCTGCAATGCACCCACTACTCTACCCAGATTGTCTGGGTTTGGGGGTGGTAAAGTCCTGACTTGGGTAAGTACTGATGTGCTATTTAACGCAGGCTTTTATGTTTTTTTTTTTGGGGGGGGCGGCTTAAATTATGAAAAGAATAGGGGAAAATACTATAAAAAAAACAAATTTCTTCTGAAGAGATTTCCAATACACATAAAAACTCTATTGTTTTATATGAAAATCTATTGGCATTTACTCCAATACTGATTTTTCTTCCTTTGAAGAGTTTTACTGTCCTCCCCACTGAACATGCCTAGCACACATATCCGCAGCCTGCTCGGAGCACACAGGAGAGGGTACACAGGGCTCCTTCCCTACAAAGCGGTAGGTTGGGGCACTAGACCCAAAGGAAATAAATGTACTTTGTATTTTTTCATTTTAAAATCATATACTTCACATTTTTACTAATTTTTAAAGTTGCACTTCAATATATGATGGTTTAGAATAAGAATAATTTGAGTGCCCACTTCATACAGCATTATGTCAACTTAAGCAAATACAATGTGAGGATAACACCATCTAACCTAATAGAAAATTCATTGATGAACATTTTATTTACATGCCTTTTTTTAAATGTCTCTGGTCTTTTACTCATATTCGAGTATAGGAGGCAATTACACAAAATCATTTAGGTCCCCTAAGTTTCACTTTTTTGAATAAACTTTTTTCTTCAAAAACTTTTGAGGAAATCTAATTTCCATAGTCCAAGAAAGGGCTCTAGAATGAAACAAGGGCTAGGCAGTGTTGATTAGTGTAAGGAAGCAATATCAGTAGCTAGTATGTATAGACTGAATTCTTGCTAGTGCACTAAAAATTTTACCTTCATTACAGCATTGAATCCTTGCAAGCCTACTTATGTAGCTGTCAATATGATAACTCACTATTACACAGGTGAGCAAGGCAGAGCTTAGACAGGTTTGGTAACTTGCGCAAGGACCCAAAAACCTGATTTGAATACAGGTGACCACCTGAGATTTCCTGTTCTTTACCTCTGATTGAACTGTCTAGTCAAGCCATACTTACATTTTTTAAAATGAGGTTTTGCAACTGGCTCTTGGTGTGTTCCCATCAAGTCCACAATTTTTGCTGAATCCCATTTTTAATAACAGATTGTGTCCATGTAACTTTCTTAGAATAATAATCTTTCCAACAGAACAAGGTAGGGAAGTCCTCACTAAAACCGACAGGGCCACAACAATAGCTCTATTCTGATTAACATCTTATGATGCCAATGTATCAGTGTCTGAAAGAAAATATGTCAGGTTCTGTAGAAATTCATTTTCCTAATTTCTTAATAGAGAAAGGTAGATTCTGTGATCTTAAAGGTCCCTTCCAGCTGCTGGTCAGTTTTATGAATATATAGGTTTCAAAATAACAAAACGGTGTTGTTGGAACTTCTGATGGTAGTAAATATTTGGCTTGGCCAGTGGAAGACATGGCATTCTTCTGCAAGCCAAATATGATCCTGACAGCCACTGAAAAACACTAATATGCCTCAATCTCATGTGTGAACCTCAGACATCTTTAACAGGCAAAACTGGGCCATATCCACAGAATCAATTTTAAAAGAGGCAAACAAGCTGAGATTTTTAAATGATCTGCCTGTAAACAGGTCAGTGTGTACTGGACTTGCTGATTCAAAACAGAACCAAAGAATCAGAGCCTATTTTCACATTCTCTGAATTCTATGCCACCCTCTTACAGTATACAGCTGGAGCTGAGAACATAGCAATGGAATAATAAATCCTCCCCCAACTCCTACCCCCCTAGATGGATAAGGTTAAGGAGTGTGAATTGTTCCATCAGGAGTTTCCCCTATGATTTAATATTACTATCATCATGGTTTTATTTTATTGAGCAGGTATTACATGAGAGGATTTTACATATATTATTTCTAACCCTTCCAGCAATCCTGCTAGATTGGTATCATTTATCCCCACTTTACAGATTAGGAAACTGAGACTGAATGAGCCTGTTTCTATAGTACAGTCTATGGCAAATCCCTCTCTCATCCCTTTCTAGATTATCTGCTCCCTTTCCTTGGGCCCATTCACTGCTCTTGTCTATCATTCTCTCCTTCACCACCATCCATCTAGCCACTGTTAGGAGGCAGCAGAAGCAGAGATTCAGGAAAGGGTTAGATGCCACCAGAATCCCTGGCAATAATGATATCTCAGAATGTGGTACAAGGAACACAATTCAGGAAGAATACATCTTCAGGTCATCATTTTCTGGTGCTGGACATTAGAGGAAGATAATTTACCAAACAAAAGCCATAGATGGGCTGTAACAAGAAGGCAGGAAAGGAGAGGGGTTAACAGGATGATGGTCTTTGGAGTCAAAGATCTGAGTTCAAGTTCCATCTCTGCTACCTACAAGCTGTGTGACAAGCCTGACTTGTCTGACCCTCACTTCTCTTCCCTGAACATATTGCTTTGTTACTTTGACTACATGAGCTAATGCCATATAAAACACTGACACAGCTCCTGACATCTAATGAGCAATTGTTGCTGACGTCAACGCCGTCGTCCTCATTATAGTTCTTGACATCATCATCATCATCATCGTCATCATCATCGTCATCATCCTGGGCATAAGAACAGGAATAGATGAGAAAGCAATTAGAACTAAGAGACACTAGCCACATTTTCTAATCTGTGTGACAGAGAGTAAAAATGCCCAGAAGTCTGTGATAGTCACACAGTCACATAGAACTGAGAAACTCCTATATCCATCCTCAGAAAAGCAAGCCCATCAAATGCCTGTCTCTCTGAACTTAAGGCCACAGCTCCAGTGAGGGCTGCCTCCAGAAGCTGTGATGGTTAAGACAGAAGCTGTGATGGTTAAGACAGAAGTGGGAAAGGATCCTTCAGGTCTGCCAAATAGTTGATTAGTATAAAGATGTAACAGGAGCACTTAATGTTACTTACGAACAAAACTCCCAACTCCAGCTTTATATTACTCTTATGTATCTTCAACTTAATGGAATAATGGGAAATGCATCTTAAGATTCTCTATGTAAAACTAGTTAAAATTCCTTGTCATTAGTGGAATTAGGAGAAGGCAGAAGTCCAATAAAGTTGAACCAACTATTATACTTGAATGGTTTTGAGGCACCTAAGCACCATTTACATGCAAAAGTTTAATGTGCTATTTATAAATCATCTTTATCTACTCATTAAAGCAAGTTCCTAAGAACCTGCACAAGACAGAACTCTTTGAGCTCAATTTAAGTGTGAAATGCTTCAAAGCATTTTATCCTCTCTTATTCAAGAAATATTTACTGAGCTTGCAATAACTAAAAAGAAAACATATCATGTGCTACATCCATGCACTAGATCATTTCATCCTCATTAAAACACTATGAGCTAAATAATGGTCACAACTTCATTCTGCAGGGAAGCAAACTAAGTTTGAGAGCAGTGACTTGAC